AACTTTACGCATGAAGTAGCTATACTTTTTCAGGTTTGATCACAGACGATCTCCTCCGACTTGAAAGTTAGCCTTGTTCTCTGTCACATGGTCGTTGATTCAATCGATAGAACCCTGCGAAGGGCCCCCACCCCGCGGCTCAAAGGGGATTGAGACAGGTTAGGATATTTTTCGATATTTTCCAAAGAGAGAATAAATGCTATGAAATTACCCCAATTATTTGATTTCTCTTATAGGGAATTGGCAAACATACGCTGTCATTGTAATACTTAATTCTGAAAGGAACATTTCAGTTATGTAAATAAGAAAATGATATCCTTTGCATCATTTTTCTGTTCGTACCAATAATTAACTTTTCATCGTAAATCAATAAAAAAGCAAAGTGGAAAGAAAAGAAGGAAATAATTTGAAATGATATTTACACTATTTACATTATTTGAACTGTTATCCTCATCTTTGTTGCTATATTCCCGACGTTTCTTCAAGTGATTGGAATTTCGAACTGATCTCTTTATTTCGTCCACCGGGGTAGATTGTTCTAGTTCCACGTACCATGTCTTTCCTGAATGTCTCAGTATCAGTTATCATCCTTTAACTCAAATCTCTGAAGAAAACCAGAGCATACAACGGCCGAAACGTTGTGAATATGGCAAAAAATATGAGCACAACAATCCGAACAATGTAAACCGTGTAAATAATTACAATACCTCATCTCAGAAATTTCGAGGGATATCAAAATGTTATTTATCTTCCATTTCTTTATTGGTTTCGTTGCTTTCTTCTTCAGCTATATTAATCCGTCCATCCTGTCTTTTTAAATTATTCGAGTAGAGAAATCATTTCTAATGACACTCTGATACCCCATCAGGCGACGGAAGCTGATATTGTCAAGTATTTCTTAGTTGTTGTTTTTTTCTGTCACTGTTCCTTTCTTATGGCACTTTTTCAATCTGTATCAAGAACCCGTCATGTCTTGTAGATTCTGAGAGAAATTTTTCATCTTTACAGTAAGATTCAGCCTATAAAAAAACCGTCGGCCAATCGAGGTAGTGGGTTATGTTAAGGAGCACTTATATGGATAGGAGTGGAAGATAATTGTTAACTCAAAACTTGAAATGGTTAAGATTGTAGTGATCGGGGAAACAACGCCTTGAAAATTTGTTACACGGACCAGTAGTTCCCGGGAAGAAACTATTCGAGTGGAATTTGCTTTTAACCAATGGAATATGGAGGGAATCTGGGTTGTTTGCTACAATGGAAGGAATATGGCATGTCCTAGCCGTGAAGGTTAGACCCGGCGGAACCAAGGAATTATTTATTTTCGCGGATAATTATTCCATAGTATTCTATTCATGTACCTTATGAGCAGGGTTGAGCATTATCTTGCTAGTATATCACGTCACCTTACCAGTTACAAGAATGACAAGGGAAATGGTTAAACAATGTGTTCTAGATGTAAATTGCATCGTTCAAAAATCCCACCACGAGTTCAATGGTAATTATGAAGGTACGGTATCTAATCGTTCTGATAAAAAAAAAGAACTCCAGAATTTGTTGGTGAGGGACACAGACTCAACACGGAAGCCTACATTATGTGCCTTGAGGAGGTAATAATTCCCTGGGTCAAAATGGTGGCTACTAGAAGACCCGTTGTCTGGCAACAGGATTCTGCACCATGCCACAAAAGCAGGAGAAACCAGTCATGACTGTCAAATTCTGTGACCCCATCACAGACTGCAGCCCCTTGATTATTATTTGTGGGGTTTGATGAGCGAGAGACCAACAAAACTCCTTGTAACACCAAAGATGAACTGAAGGCAAGGATTATGGCAGCATTCACCAAATTAAACAGGCAGGCTGTCCAGAAGAGTTGCGGGAGATTCTGAAGTCATCTTGAGGCCGTAGTTGAAGCCAATAGCGATTTTATTGAATAAATTTACTCTTTACTATTTCAAGATATTTTTGTATAATTTTGGTAAATATATATCTGTTAAAATGAGATGTCAGTATTACTTTCGTTTTTGCGTCTTTTTGACGACAATTTATCCATCGTGCCCTGCATATATGTGCAGGTGGAAAAAAAGCAAATATTGATAAGATAGTGAGAGTCGCAAAGCACTGTCTGAGGCCCTCAGTCAAGCTTGACATGTCCCTGGTCGGGGCATTCGGGAGCAGTAGGTGCCGGTCCTGCAGTCTGTATGGTTATGACAGCATCGCTGGGCGGAAGGTTTCCTAAACTGAATCGACATCCAAGGCAGAGAATTGACCCGATGGCATCAAAGGTCTCATGTCCGTGACTTAGAGATCCTCCAAGTTCAAGGCCATAGGTTGTAGTTTGACCAGGAGAGGATCCATCAGGTCTACTTTGCTCAGGACATGCTACGCATGAATGAATTCCTCTCCGTTTTTTAACATAGATATATAGTGAGGAGCGCACTGACACTACTATCACATGTGTTTATATGCGTTGAAATTTATAAAATCTTTCACCCTTAAACGATTTTTCAGGAAAAATACGTAACTCATGTCTAGTAACTGTTATCGCTCTTTATGTACTGATGTGGATTTCCTTCCTAATCTTTGATTTCAAGTTGTATGGAATGTCACTTATTTTTTCTTTGCGGTACATGTGATGTGCTATCCATTTTATTTGTTGCCACTGTCCTCATGTGATGTGATTTCTGGTATTTCGTATAACTGTTTGTGATTATGTTGCGCCAGTCCACTATGTTTAAGGAAGAAAGGTTCTTTACTAAGAGACTCAGACTTTCATATTAAGAAATTGATAAAGCCCGATAACTATTTTATATATTTTCTGTTGATACGTTATTTTAATATGTACAATTTTTTTTAAAGTAAATCCACTGTTTTTTTTTTTTTTAAATAAACAGTATTAAATACATTTATCGGTCTGAATGTTCGAGAACCTTGAAGAAAATATGCGCTTCTCCGACTGGAATCGATCCTGTAACCCTAATGCGAACCATCTTTTGATCTGATGCGTTGCTAAACACACACACACACACACACACACACACACACACACACACACATATATATATATATATATATATATATATATATATATATATATATAATGGGTTGGTGTCAAGGCTCCCTGGAAGCCTCTTGGGAGTGTTACACACCTTCGTTAAAAATTATCCAACCAGGAGAAAGAAACACTTGCAGCGACTTAAGAGGATCCAATAAGGTTGACTTGTTCTTTTTGGGGTTACAGAGTACATTCGCTTCTTGCTCACTGATTGTAGTGAAACATATTTTTACACGTTAAACATTTTATTCACAGGCATTCCTTGATGTCGTAGGTCTTGTAATCTGGCGATGGTCATATTCATAACGAGTTGACATTATGTATACACGGATGCGTTACTATGCTTAAACATTAGCGTATTAAGAAAATGCAGTGCAGATATGTAGAAAAATAGGAAAGAACACGTTAGGTAAATAATGCGGAGTTCTTTAGTATTTTTGTTTTTATTTTAAAAAACAGTGCTCCATACAAAAGTAGAGCTTAAATTATAATTATTTTTGAAACATGAGAACTCTTATGAAGCGAAGGAAAATAATTATAATATATATATATATATATTGTAAGAATGAGATTGATATAAAAAGCCATCTTAAAAGTCAGCTTTAAAAATCTGATTTTTTTGCATTCTGTCTGATCTGATTGGTTTGTGTAATCTCGTCGAATAGATCGATCAATCTCTATTCACCTCCAATGTCCTATGTTTTATCGCTCATCAACGCGCTGAAGCAGAAAGTATTTCGATAGGAAATTCTTTATATATGATCGGCCGGCTGATCCTTTTTATCTGCAAGATTGGAGCAATCTATTTTCCCATGTGGCCTCTGGCAAAACCAAGTTGTTGAAAATATCTATCGATCTAAATATACACAGAAAAGGAGAGGAAAATAATGAGTGATAGAAGACAGAGAGAACGAGAGAGGGAAAGAGAAAAGAAGATGCTGCTGCTGCTTCTGCTGCTGCTGCTGCTGATGATGATGATATCAATTACCACATCCGGATGGATCCCCATTCATATACATTTGCGTCTGTATTCAGATTCACTTATACGATATAGCCCTACATATACAGCCATTAAAGTCGTCTAGTATGATTGACGCTGTGCTAAGACGAAGCAACCTTTCCGGCCTACACATTATCCTCTTAGCAGTTTCTTTAAGTATGTTCGATTAACGGAAATACCTACTAATAAACGTTCTGAAGAAATGTTGTTTGCGTTAAAAGATGGTTAGACTACAGGATTGATTGAAAGACAAACACTCAGAAAATACATAGTTTGGTTGTTTTTATTTAGCGGCATACCAGCATCCATGTGTTATTTTAATGCCGCTGTCTAAATATTTTGTATGCAATTCATTTTATTTTTGGACTGTATGACAGTAAGTGCTGGGTGATCCCCTCAAAGATGAAGAATAGACTTGAAGCAACAGAAATGGGTTTCTACAGAAGAATGCTGAGAATACCATGGACCGAACTTGTGAGTAAAGACGAAGTTTGGGCAAAATGGAAACAAAAAGGAAATTCAAAATTAACATCAAGAAGAGACACTTGAGGTTTCTGGGACACAATATGAGTAAAGAGAGCTTGGAAAATCTGATGTTCACGGGACAGATAGAGGGCAGAGAAAAACAACGCAATACTTCCCTTAATGGGCTTGAATAAATGGATGGTGGAACAGGGCTTAGGAGAAATAACAGAAAGATAAAATTTATTAATAGTTACAAAAGAGAAGAAGTTGTGGAGAGCCATGATAACCTACACCCTGAGGGGACACGGAACATAAAGAAGAAGATACAAATATTGCTAATTAACCCACAGCTGCGGGGAGAAGAGGTTGATTCATATCTTTCTCAAGGGTATATGCGTATAAGTGGGTATAAAGAACTCAACTGGAATTGAAGCTTAACTTTCCTAATTAACAATTTCCATTACACCACTCGCAAATCCAAACTTACAGTACCTGGTATTCCAAAGTGGTCCCCCATCTAGGTACTGACCCGACACGACATTGTTTAACTTCAGTGATCGTACGGGAACCTCTGTTTCAACGTGATTTGTGCGAAAGCCTCAGTTAAAAAGGAAAACTTTTGATCAAATGTTGATCGGATGGAAGCATAGATTTTTGTATTAATGGTTACGCGCTAATGTAGAAGTAAAAAATAAAATAATCTTGTACACAGTAACTGTATTTAGATTAAGTTGATTAGTAATAAGCCTTAGCGGAGTTTATTATACAGCCATCAAATAGATTACGCTGTCCACATTGACACTTTGGTCTCTACTGCAATAGATTTGATAGAGAACTTGAATGAGCAATATATTTACTATTTTCTTCTGCCAATAAAGAATTCAGTTCGAAATTCCAAGACGGTTAATGAGTAGCAAAACAGACATATGAAGAATCCCAGATAGCACAATGGTCGAAACATTGCGACTGTAATAACCAAGATGACATGACAGTTCGAATAGCAAAGCATATAATGGTAATTCCTGATTTCAAAATATCTGACAAAAATTCGCATTTTCTTTGACATCGATTGCTAATCAAACCAATCGAAAACAGACAAAATGCAGCACAAACCGTAAAAGCCATAAACATTTCGATTAAGGTTCTTACTTTCATGTCTATTCTGACAACTGACAACTCAAAAATGAAATAAAATTCGTACAAAATAATTAAACTCGGTAAAAGAAAAGAGGGAAAATGATCTCATAATAGAAACTGCAATTAATGGTAACATTTATGAACTGGAAAAAAATTCTCTTCATTTATTTAGTGATTCACTTTTTTCTTTATGATGCCTGATATTCTTTTCGTTTTCTTTTTCTTTCTTTCTTTGAGTTAAACATGTTTTTTCTTTCTTTTAATCATCATCATTTTTTTTTTTTCTTTTAGTAATTTTCTTTCTTTCTTTCTTTCTTTATTTATACACATTTTTCTAATTTACTCTTTTTTTTATTATATTCTGGAAGTTGTTCTTGCCTTCTGTCTTATTTTCTTTGTTTTTTTTTTTCAATCTTCTCTGGCAGTATTTCCTTCTTTCTATTATTTTTTTTATTTTTCTATCCTTCAATCCTTCATTGTTTGGATTAATTTTTCTTTCTTTTTCTTTTCTTTTCTTTTTCTTTTCTTTTCTTTTTCTTTTCTTTTCTTTTTCTCTTGCTTTTTGGTTTTATTCTTCTATCTTAAAACGGCTTCTTTTTCCTTCTTCGTTTCTTTCTTTTTTCCCTTCTTTCTATTTTATTTTAGCACTGAATATTTCATATTTTCGTTTGTTCCTAAATATAAATCTCTTCCTCAGGCGACTGTCATAGATTTATGCTTTCTCTATCACTCCTTACACTGTATATCTTACCTTTCAGCCATTTTCAGTTCAGGATTTTGAGGGGCTACGCTGTTTATTTTTACGCTTCCTTTTTGGATGAATATTAAGTGTATTCTAACAGAGGACGAAAAGTGTGACCATGAGACCCGAACACACACTGGGATGGCCAAAGATGCATTCCAAAACTAAACACTGTATTTAAAGACAGAAAAACTTTATCTGTCCTCCTATATACCAGTGAATGCTGGACAATCTCCTCATACATGAAGAAGTAACTGGAAGCAACAGAAATTTGTTTCTACAGAAAGATGCTGAGGATACCATGAAACAAACATGTGAGACACAACGTGGTTTTAGTCAAATGAAAACAAAAAGGAAACTTATACTTAATATCAAGAAGAAACAGTTGAAATTTCTGTAGCACGTAATGAGGAAAGTGGGCTTGGAAAATCTCATACTCACAGGACAGATTGAGGGAAAGAAATACAGAGGAAATGGATGGTAGAATATGGTTTGGGAGAAATAACAAAAAGGCAAAACTTATTAAGAGCTACAAGGGACAGGAAGATGTGGAGGGGCATAATCGCTTACGTCCTGAAGGGATACGGAACATAAAAGAAGAAGTTTGAGCTTTGTCGATTTTATCATTCTATTACATTACTTCGCGTGTGCTCTCGAAAAATTGCTAAACTTTAAAATATGCATGTCAACATCGTAAATTTATTTCACTTTTGAATTTCTATTTCTTTTTGGATTCAATAAAAAAATGCTTTGAAATAGTCTTGTTAATTTTTATCAATTTCTTCTCTGAAAAATTTCATTTTTTTTCTTCGCTTTTTCGTCCATCTATTTATATGTTTCGTCTTTCGTTTCTCATTTTACCGAAACTTCTTATACGTTGTTATCTCTGCTTCTTTGACATTTCCATCTCTTTTATATTCTTTTCTTTATTGTCTTCTTCCAATGTCCACTAATTACTATTATTATTATTATTATTATTATTATATATTATTATTATTTATCCTTTTTTTTCCTTTGTTTTCCTTTTCTCCACATTCGTTTTTCATTTTTTCTCATTTTTCTGCCGCTATCAGTTCTTCATTTCTTTCTCTTCCACCCCACTATTTGTTGTTCTACCTTTTCTTCGCTTACATTTTTCTCTTCTTCACTTCTCATCTTTCTTCTATCATTCTTTTTACCTTTAGTTTTTCGTCTATTCTCCTTTTCGAGTTCATTTCACCCTATGTTTCCTCTTTCTTATTCTTTCTCAACTTTTACTTCTCCATCATCATCATCATCATCATCATCATCATCATCATCATCATCATCGTCGTCGTCATCATCATCACCATTATCATCATCACCAATATTTTCATTCTTATTTTTTTTCTTTGTTCAATATTTTTTCGCTTTTTTTCTTTTTCGTTTTTCATTTTTTCTTTTATATCATTCATTTCCTCTGCCTTCTACTCACTTTTTATCCGGCTCTAACCTCCAACTCACCCTTTTTTCACCTTCTTCATTCTATTTCTTTATTTCTCTTTTTCCTCTTTATTATTATTATTATTATTATTATTATTATTATTATTATTATTCGACAGGCGTCGTCTGTAAATATCGCAAGTCATTTGCTGTCAGATTCCGGCAATATGATAGACGACACGAAATTAATATTCATATCGCCTCCTTCTACATCCAAAAGCAAGATAGCCATTTTCTGTCTTGGAAAACTATTTTTTTCTTCTTCTTCTTCTGTCTCATTTTCTTCTTCTTTGTTTTGGTAACTGTGTATCTAAAAGTTTCGTATTGGTTTGTTGAAACATATCGTCATTTATTATTATTATTATTATTGTTGTTGTTGTTGTTGTTGCCACTGCATGGCCGGGTACCAGTTTCCATTGACAGATCAGAATCGGTCGATTTCTTCAGATATTCCAGATCGATCGTTATACCTATTATCATTTTGTCATTATTTTCTTTTATGTATTTTTGATTGATGCTTGTTTGCTTTTTTATTTAATTCATTATTCAGACTCATCAACATCTGTCTTTGTAATTTGATCGCACATGATTACGAAACAGAGAAGCCATAATATTGCGTGTCAAGACTTGGATGAGTTGAACAAAAATAATTCAATCATTAGAGTTGTCATTAGGTATTCTACAATCATAAACCGATGGCTAGATCATCACCTCACGTGTACATCTATCTATCTATCTATCTATCTATCTATCTATCTATCTATCTATCTATCTATCTATCACCATTTATATCTATCTCTCTATCTAATTATAAAAAAGTATAAGGAAAATATTCGTCAATCCTGTCGACAAAAACTTACCAGAATCAATCTAATTGACAAAAATATCCGACAAAAAACGTGCTACAAATCACAAAGAAACACAACAGAAAGATAACTAGTACATCACTAATTCCCATAACCCAAGCATGTAACTGTAGTACAAAGTCCAAATACTCACTAAACGGTAACGTCCTACAAAAAAAGTAATGTACCAAACTACAGTAGAATACAAAGCAAACCAACAAAATATATAGGAATAACAGAAGGTCTCTGGAAACAGAGAAGATTTTCACATAAACATCATTTCGTAGCAAAAACTACTTAAACAACTTCATGACGGCACAATGCATAAATAGAGCTTTAAAAACGGAGACGTTGCAATTAACATTCAAATAGAAAAAGCTGGTAAAATTCCTCCTTAAGCATCCAGTTTTTCGATCAGCTCTTATCAAAATGGATCGTTGATGAATTCTAAACTTGTGAGGCATCTATTTTAGAATCGAACTTAAACAGTTGAAGTAAAAGAAGTCTTTTTTCAAGCTCCAAATCACTAGTTTTCCGAAAGTTCATATTCACACTATTTCCACAGTAGTCACTTCAGTTTCTATTTTCTCTTCAGAATTACTGCCAATCGTGATTTTCTGGCTTGTCTCATCGTCAATAAGTTCATGAAGTATATAATGAACGATGATTGTATCAAGAATGTTGTCGATAAAGTGCCTGCGATGGACCGTTTATATTATTTTTTAAGTTTTAAAATTCATCCACATTGCAATTCTGGTCCGACTCTGCTGTTATCTGAGGATTGCAGATAGCATACGATTGCCCTCTAGTATAAGACACAAAATAAACGCTAAGGTAGATCCTTTTAATTGTAGGGATTAAAACTACTTCCTTCTATCAGTTGAATTACTTCCTTCTAAGAATCGAGATGGGGAATAATTCCATCTGTCATTCGAGATGGGGATTGCATCCATTTATCAGTCTGGGTAGAAACTACTTCGAGATGAAACTGCTTTTTTTATTAGTCGTAGTAGATACTACTTTCTCATTCGAGGTTCTAATAGTCGAGGTAGAAACTACTTTCATATCTCTTGCTCATTTCTGCTGAATTGGAGCTTCATTATTTGATCCAAGGGTTGAACTCGTGGCTATTAGATGACAGTAAAAATAACTGACACTACAGGGACAAAATATCACAACAATCAACAGATATCCCATATCAGCCAATCAATGGACACCTGATGATAACCTGAGGGTACTTGGTCGAAACGTTGTGTAACATCTTTATCAACCGATATGATCATAGTTCGAAATAATACGCGAATATTGACAATTACTCATTTCAGAAATTTTAAGGCTAATAATAATAATAGACGTAAACAAGCAAAGGAAATATGTTAAAAGAAAAACTAGTCAA